ACCATCCTTACCCAACTGCTTTCAGTTCTGATGAATGATCACTGGACTTGCAATGTTAACTTGTTTTTCTTTCTACAGATGCTGCTAGACCTGTTGAGTTTCTCCTGCACTACCTCTAGATAACAGGCTATTGTAGACTGGGCATTGTGTAACAAGAAGTGAATAATTGACAGTCTATCTGTGCGAGGTTCCTCGAGTAAGGTGAGCATACAATGGTAGAATTCATCATTAAAATGGTCAGTGATGCGGTTGATTCTGCAACTAGACTCCTGAATCTAAATGAAGGAAACTGTGATGGTATGGTGCGTGAGCTGGCTTTGATAAATGGTGGAACATTACTTAAAGGGATGATCATAGAATCTATACAGTGTGGAAGCAGGCAATTTGGCCCATTGAGTCCATACCAACCGCCTGAAGAACAACCCACCCAAACCCACCCCAGTCCTGTAGCCCTGCATTTCCCATGGCTAACCCACCTAATCTGCACATTTCAGGGCACATGGGCAATTTAGTACGGCCAATCCACTCTAACCTGTATATCTTTGGATTGTGGGAGGAAACCAGAGCACTTGGAGGAAATCCATGCAGACATGGCGAGAATGTGCAAACTCCACATAGACAATCACCCTAGAATAATGACTTTTAAGCAACTCTTGGATAGGGACATGGAGGATAGTAAAATGTAGGGTATGCAGGGTAGATTGATCTTAGTAGGAGAATAGGTCAGCACAACATCGTGGGCCGTAGGGCCTGTACTGTCCTCTACTGTTCTATGTTCTATGTAGTAGAATCATAACCAGGTCCCTGCTGCAGTGAGGTAGAAGTGCTAACCACTGAGTTATTGTGCACCCTTAATAATAGTGGATAAGCAATGGCAAACGTTTAGATGACACTGAGATTGGTGGATTAGCAGATAGTGAAGGGGACTGTCGGAGAATGCAGCAGAATATAGATAGATTGGAGAGTTGGGCAGAGAAATGGCAGATGGAGTTCAATCCAGGCAAATGCGAGGTGATGCATTTTGGAAGATCCAATTCAAGAGCGAACTATACGGTAAATGGAAAAGCCCTGGGGAAAATTGATGCACAGAGAGATGTGGGTGTTCAGGTCCATTGTACCCTGAAGGTGGCAACGCAGGTGGATAGAGTGGTCAAGAAGGCATACGGCATGCTTTCATTCATCGGACAGGGTATTGAGTACAAGAGTTGGCAGGTCATGTTACAGTTGTATAGGACTTTGGTTCGACCACATTTGGAATACTGCGTACAGTTCTGGTCACCACATTACCAAAAGGATGTGGATGCTTTGGAGAGGGTGCAGAGGGGGTTCACCAGGATGTTGCCTGGTATGGAGGGTGCTAGCTATGAAGACAGGTTGAGTAGATTAGGATTATTTCATTAAAAAGACGGAGGTTAAGGGGGGACCTGATTGAGGTCGACAAAATCATGAGAGGTATAGATAGGGTGGATAGCAAGAAGTTTTTTCCCAGGGTGGGGGACTCAATTACTAGGGGTCACGATTTCAAGGTGAGAGGGGAAAAGTTTAAGGGAGATATGCATGGAAAGTTCTTTACGCAGAGGGTGGTGGGTGCCTGGAACGTGTTGCCAGCAGAGGTGGTAGAGGCAGGCACGATAGTGTCATTTAAGATATATCTAGACAGATACATGAATGGGCAGGGAGCAGAGGGATACAGATCCTTGGAAAATAGGCGACAGGTTTAGATAGAGGATCTGGATCGGCGCAGACTAGGAGGGCCGAAGGGCCTGTTCCTGTGCTGTAATTTCTTTGTTCTTTGTTCTTTGTTCTTTAAAGTGTACATGAAGGAACTGCAATAAATGTTAATTCTTGTCTGGCACAAGTTCTACTAAAGTATAGCCAATGCAGATTTTGGTATTGTGATGTCGTGTGACTCTGCTTACGTTCATTTGACCAAGCAATACACATGTGATTGCAGACAGATTGAAGACAAGAACCTAATGTTTTAGAGTTTCAGCTTAAAAAGGAATGAAGCACTGCCAATCCTATCAGGCAATCTTCCAATTGTGGAGTTGGGTACAAATGTGATTTTTTTTTACCCCATTCACCTTTCTGTAATTTAGTTGATCCTTCTGGTTTGCAACCAATACTATTGGTGAACTCCAGCTGCTTTAACTAGGTTCAATCAAGTGGTTTTCTGACTGATTTTGGTTTCAGTAATATGCACGTGAGAGATATTTTCCTAATCAACCTGTTTAGAGATGTTATAGCACACCTCTGGAGCAGGTGGAATTGAGTTGTGTCTCCGAGTGGTGGACTGAGAGTAGTGTGGATCTTGCAGCTGCTCCTACGATTGCAGGCTTATTCCGAGATTTACTCTTAGATTTCTTACAGTTAACATATTTCAGTAGTATAACGTTTTTTGCCTGATTTATCTTTGATACTTTTATCATTAAAATGTGTGTATTGTTTTTCAAACAGAGTTGGGCCAATGGAATTTTTGGAAAGGCCTTTACTTATTTTACTTTTAGATTTCTTACAGTTATTACATTTTGTTTTAATTCATTTTTGGTTTGTTTATATTCAAAAATGCAAAAAAAGACCCAACAAAAGCAAACCCCCCCCCCCCAGAAAAAGCATGTTTTTTTTCAAATGGAGTTCTGTTAATTGCTACTTTTTTGGATTTACCTACTTGTGAGAGGCTCAGTTTATTTTTCTCTTAGAATTATATGCATAGAAGAGAGAATTATTCTTAATATTACTAAATAGACATTTTAAATCGCAGAGGAGAGTGAGTTTTTTTTTAATGGAGCTTTTGGAGAGCCTACACATAGACAATTCTGGAGTGAGGTTTTTTTTTATATATCAGATGATTGAACACTATTTGCTGGACCACTTGAGGTTTTCTAAAATTTGACAGTTCAGCTAAATTGTTGATTTTGTTCAAGGTTTTATTTTTATTTCTAATTTTTTGCATGCTTAATATTAATTCTTTGGGCAAAGAAATATAGTTTATTTTATATAAGGTGCTATTTTAAGCTAGTTCTTTTTAGGCTTAATGTCATCAAGGGCATATGAAAGACAGAGTTAGATGGCTAGTAGATTTAGAGAAGTGATTACCAAGCAGGATCAGTCAGATAGATGGATGATTGTCAGGAAAGGTAAGAAGGTAGTTCAGAAGTCTTCCTGTGGCTATTTGTCTCTCAAACAGATATTCAATGTTGGGTAGGATAGTTTCTCGGGAAAATAGAAGAGACAGCCAGATCTTGGACGCTAAGAATGAATCTTATGTTAGATGAGGTTTGACAAAATTTAAAAGAGTAATTGTTATTGGAAATTGTCCTGTCAAGGATATAAACAGGAGATTCTGCAGCAGTGAGCATAAATCTACGATATTATGTTGCTTTCCTGGTGCTAGGATTAAATAAGTCTCAAAATGTTTGAAGCATATTGTTAAAGGGGAGAGTGAAAAACCAGAAGTTATTGTACATTTTGGTAGGAATGACATTTAAGGAAAAGATTAAAGCTTTACGGAGTGAATATAGAAAGTTCGTTAGATAATTAACTACAGAATGTCAAACGTAGTGAGCTCTGGTTTACTCCTGGTGCCAAACTCAAATGAGGAAAAGGATAAAAGAAATAACTCAATGGCTGTAGAGGTGGTGTAATGTTCAGGGATTTGGATTCTTGGATCACTGAGATCTCTTCAGGGGCAGAAAAGGCTTGTTCAAAAAGGATGGGTTTCACATGTACTGGAAAGGGACGAGTATCCTAGCAGTAAGATTTGTTAATTCCATTAAGGGAGACTGTGTAAGTTATTGGGGGGTGGTGAGGGAGGAGGGATCCTTAGTAGCAGATTAAATAGAAGCTAGATGAGAATGGTTTTGAATCTGAAAATAAGAAGTTAGTTAGAAAAGATAGACAAGACCAAGTCCGAGAATGAAATAACTCAAAAATTATATTGCATTTCTTTCAATGCAAGGAGACTCACAGGTAAGGCTGATGAGCTCGGCATGTTTACGAACATGGGATTGGGATGTCACGTTATTGCAGAAACTAGGCTGAGGGATGGACAGAGATAGTAGGAACTGCAGATGCTGGAGAATCCGAGACAACAAGGTGCAGGGCTGGATGAACACAGCAGGCCAAGCAGCATCATAGGAGCAGAGAGGCTGACGTTTCGGGCCT